GACTAATGGAATAGAATAGTCCACAAATAAACACTCACATATAAGGCTGATTTTTCACATGGGTGCCAAGGCCATTCAGTGAGTAAAGGATAGTCTTTTCAACAATGGTGCTAGAAAAACTGGATGTATAATATAGGCAAAAGAATGAAGTTGGATGTTTACCTTACCCCATATATAAAAATCAGCTCAAAATCGTTCAAAAACCTAATTGTAAGTACTAAAACTATAAAACTCTTAGAAGAAAACAATGTGGGGAATCTTCATGACACTGGATTTGATAATTTCTTAGATATAATACCAAAAACACAGGCAGAAAAAAATATACAAACTGTACTTTATCAAAGTAAAAAACTTTTATGCTTCTAAGAATACTTTCAGAAAGTGAAAATAAAACTTACAGAATGGAAGAAAATATTTGTAAATCACATCTGATAAGGGATTAATATCTGGGATGTATAAAGAACTCCTACAGCTCAACAACAAAAATATAAATACTCAATTCAAAAATAGGCGAAAGACTTAGAGACATTTCTCTAAAGAAGATCCACACAATGTCCAATAAGCACATGAAAAGATGCTCAAATAAGTAGTCTTTAGGGTAATATAATTAATCAGAACCACAATGATATACCATTTCATACTTATTTGGACGGCTATTTTTTTTTAATGGAAAATAACAAGTGTTGGTGAGAATGTGAAGAAATTGGAACCCCAGCACATTGCTGGTGAAATGTCTCCATATGATCCAGCTATCCCCTCTTAGGTATATACTCAAAGGAATTGAAAGTACAGACTCAAACTGATATTAGTACACCAATGTTCAAAACAGTGTTATTCATAATTACCAAAAGGTGGAAACAACCCAGTGCCCATTAGCAGATGAATGAATAAAACAAAATGTGGTTATCCCCATACATGGTATATTAGGCCATAAAATGGAATCAAGTTCTGATACTTGCATTGTGCTAAGATGTAACAATTGCTGCTCCCAAAGCGGTCCCAGCTGAGCTGACTACACCCTCCACATGATGGGCATGAACTGAGTGGGGCTGGTGAGGCGTGGTTCAGACCACAGTGAAGTTCAGCTTCTTCTGCTGCCCCACCTTGCTGCTTTCTCTTTCCTTCCACAGATCTTGGTCCCTAATAGGCATCTTTCACCCCAAACTTCCCATTTCTGAAGAACTCAACTGGTGACAGACCCCAAGTGGATCTGGTCAACACCAGCACACACATGCATGAATACACACACACTGCACTGTACCGTGAATTCAGCCCCTGCTCCAACCTCCAGCCATGCTCATTGATGATTCCACCTCTTTGTCTCTCTGGGACAGTCTTTTCCACCTTGCGTGCACACCCTTCAGGACCCAACTTACTGCTACCCACACTGCAATGTATTTCTAGTCCTCCAGATCCAGTGTTATCCCTTGCAGGGTCCTGCATGCCCCATCTGCATTATGGTAGCTGAGTTAACTGGTTAAGTCTCTTCTCTGCAATGTGAGCCACTGAGGCCCATGTCCTGCCCCACCTAGGGAAGGCTGGGCGTCAGTCTGTGGACTCACACAGACCTGGGTTCAGATTCTGGGCTTCTCCCATACAAGGTATGTGACCTCTTTGTGCCTCAGTTTCCTCATCTATAAAATAAGAACAATGGATCTGCATTGTGAGGCTTGTAAGAGATGGTGAATGCATGCGAAGTATTTGGCATCAGGCTTAGAGCAGAGTAAATACTGGGGTCTTCACTGCCGTCATTACTTGTCTGAACCAAGGTCTGGCACAGAGTTAACCAAATGTATAACATTTGGGCCAAAGACTCATCTGATGCTATACAGCAAGAATATGTGGGGGACACCAAGCCATTCACTGTGCTGGCAGCTACGCCATGTACATGGAGGTTGTGCTTATCCAACAGGAGATGGCTTTGTTCCTTGGCCCACAACTGGGTAGCCATTGGCAGAGAGGGAACAGGATTCAGGGAGGGCTCACGTGGGCATGCAGGGCTTGAGGGGCAGCAAGGAAGAGAGCTGAGAGGCTGACAAAGTGGCCACATCCAGGCTACCTGTGGGCACGAGCATTCTGCCCCTTGCCCAGGACAGGAGAGGAACCAAGTCTTTGCTTACAAAGGCAGAGTGGGTTCCTGGGAGAACTTCACTTCCCTTTGCCCTCAGGATAAGGGTCACCATGTCGCTCTTGGTGAGGGCATGGCAGGCATTCCCTGGCATCCTTCCCACCAGGGCTGCCTCTGTCCTTTAATGCATTCCTTCCTGGCAAGAGGTCTGGGCGTGGGGGATGAGGACAGCCTCGTGTTCACCAGCCAAGTCCTGACCCTGATGGCTGGAGCCCCTGGTGAGGGCCAGACTTTGGAGGCCTGCTCGAGGTCCCTGCCCTCCCGGAGCTGACATTCCAGAGAGAAAAAGGTGCCATGGAAAATGAGCACAGTGTACAGACCACAGCGGAGGGTGGCCAGTGGCTGTACCAAAGGTGGGGGGCACAGCCAGGAAGACAGAAGGCCACTTCTCCAGCTGGGCAGGGCTTGGGAGCAGCTGCCATATTAGGCTTTGCCTCTGGCAGAGTGCTATAGTGTGGAGGTTTGTAACCTCAAATCCACATCCACACATTACTCATAACCCCCAGGGCAAGGGTGTTAGGTGAGGCCTTTGGGAGGGGATGAGGTCATGAGGGTATAACCCCCGTGATGGGAGCAGTGACCTCAGGAGGCCCCAGAGAACCCCTCAGCCCTCCTGCCATGGGAGCACTTCCGGGGGAGCAGGTTCACACCAGACGCCTCGTCTGCTGGTGCCACAATGCAGGCTTCATGCCTCCAGAACCCTAAGAAGTAAACATTTGCTGCTTATGAGCCTCCCCATGTAGTATTGTTATCCCAAATGTACTAAAACAAAGGGTTTTGAGCAGAGCAGTATGGGTCTGTCTTGGTTCTAAGGACCCATCTGCTGCTGGGAGAGTAAAGTTAAGTAAGTGCAGGGAGTAGTTGCAGCAAGGCCAGAGGGAAGTCGACTGCAATAGTCCAGGCAGAGGTGATGGGGCCTGGGCCAAGAGTGGGGTAGTCGGAGGGCAGGAAGCTGAGCCTGGGTCTGTCTGTGATGAGGCTGACAGATCCAACAAGGCTGATACTGAGGACTTTTTCCTGAGAGCCTGTTTCTTCATTTGTAAAACAGCTCAATGTTGGAGGCCCAGTGGGAGCCCAACAAGGGGTGGTCCTGCTTCTCATCCTTGCTTGTCCCCTGGTCTGGCAGCCTGATGATGACCTGTCCCTTATCTCCACTTAGGTGTCACCTCCTCAGGGAATCCCCTCCTGATGCCCTTCCCAACACCTGTCACAAATCACGTTTTCTCCTGCAAGCTCTAACCTGGACAACCAGAGCCACTGTCCCTTAGCAAGCCTAAGGTGGCAGTGACAGGCCCTCTGCCCTAGTGGCTAGAAGAACTCAAAGCTCCATGGCCGATGTCTACATCAGATTCGCACAGCATTTCCCTCTCCTTCCTCGGGCCAGCCTCACATGGTGTGGTGTGGGGGTGGGGGTTCCAAGTCTGGACAGCGTAGGTTGGAAGCGGGGATTGCCCGGAGACTGTGTGACCTTCAGAGAGCTACTGTTTTCTTAGTGCATCAGTCCTTCCTCCTACACTAACCTCCCTCAAACAAGCTTGCTCCTTCCCCCTTTCTATAGGATCTCTCACTTTGGCTGACCCGTGTGCCCAGGCCTGAGGGTTTCCCAGGACTTGGACTCTGTGCTAAAGGCAGGACAGTCCCAGGCAAACGAGGCTGGCTGGGTATCCTACTCCTTTGTGGTTGGACACCATAAAAATTGTTTAACTTCACAAATAAAATTATACACATGCTCCTCATAGAAATGAAATATTAAACCACTAAAGGAACCAGGGCTCCTTGGAAAAATCTGATTCCAGGTGCAAGACAGTACAACTTATATTAGAAAGTAAAGAAGTGCTAAAAATTTATGACATGTTGAAAGGACACAGAGCCAAACTGGAAGAGCGCCCACTGGCCAAATGCGCCACTATTTGAGCATCTAATGGACTGCACCTCCATTAGGAGTGTAATGGATTGTAACTCAATGAGTAGAGTAAAAATCCATGGATCCATACGCTAAAGAATGAAACATCCTTCAGAGTGCAGAGCTAGTAAGTGCAAAGAACACAGAAATAGCACGGTAACAGCTCCTTTAGGCAGGGAGTAGCAACGAAGACCAGCAGGCCGAAGCAGGAGCTACGGGCAGCCAGCAGTCGAAGCGCCTTCTCAAGGGAAGCTCACCGCCAAGGTAGAGGTCAGCCCGCCTACCCTGCACAACCGCGCACTCCGGAGGGCCACGGTCACAAGCCAGCGAGGGGGGCTCGTCCAGACGGGCGTCGGGCCGGGGCGCGTCGGTACCAATGTGCACTGCCCCCAAGTCGGGCTCAAACCTCCCGCACCTGCACCCATTTCTGCGCCTTGCCCCGCAAAACCTACGCAGCGCCTGACCAGCCCCCAGACGCATCCTGAACAGACCGCTCCGAACCCTCGCAGGCTACTGCTCTGCGCCCTCCTCCAGCACCGCGGCCCTCCTTCCCCACGCGGGCCAAGTCCTCAGGGGGCCCGGCGCGCTGCCCGCAGAGTAACTCCCACATAATACAGAGACCTGTCTCCCGCCCGCCTCGCAAGCTAGGGCGGACGGCACCGGAAGGTACTAGAGCTTCCGGCTCTGCGACGGCAAAGGCGCGGACCAATCATGGCCCGGGGCGGGCAGCGCGAGGCACGACGGGCCTTGGTGGGCTCACGGGAGGGACTACGACCCCGATAGTGCCCCGCGCGGTGGCAGCGGAGGCAGTGGCCCTGGAAGGAGTGACCCCGCCCAGGCCTCGGGCCAATCACGACCCGGAATTGGAAGCGCAGGGCACGACGGGACTTGTAGTCGCGCTGGCGGGACTACGGCTCCCACAGTGCCCCGCGGGGCGGGGCGTGTGATGCGGCTGCGCGGCGGCGGCCGGGTGCCGTCGGGCTGGGCGGCGGCGGCGAACGAACCCTGGCCTGAACCTCGCTGGGAGCGGCGCGAGCCGGCCGCGGCTACCATGTCGGCGTCGTCTGAGGAGGAGGAGTACGCGCGGCTGGTGATGGAGGCGCAGCCCGAGTGGCTGCGTGCCGAGGTGAAGCGGCTGTCGCACGAGCTGGCCGAGACCACGCGCGAGAAGATCCAGGCGGCTGAGTACGGGCTGGCGGTGCTGGAGGAGAAGCACCAGCTCAAGCTGCAGTTCGAGGAGCTCGAGGTGGACTACGAGGCGATCCGCGGAGAGATGGAGCAGCTCAAGGAGGTAAGGAGCAGGGCGCGCAGTGCCCGGCCCACCACGACCCCCGACCGCGGGCCGGGCCGGCTGCGGTGGGCAGCGCGCGTGGGTCCTGGCCCTGTGGGTAGGGGCTGCGGTGGGGTTTGTCTCCAGCCCGCGTGCTCCTGCGGCCCTCCTCGGGCGCGGTGGGATAGGGTACCGTGCGGTGCGTGGCTTCTCAGCGCGGAGCCTGGAAGTGGAATTGATACAGGTGACAGGCTGGGAAAGGCCAGGCCTGGGCCTCCATTACTTCCAGACACATCACTTCCCCTTCCTGGGGCTTCCAGCGTCTCCGGTGAGCGCTCGAGGCAGGGAAAGGCCCGGTACAGGGGCTGGCCCTGCTCTTGGTTTTCGAGGCCGGTGGAGTGTCCCCCATGGCCTTCCCCAGGCTCAGCTGCTAACGCCCGATGACTTATCTGGGACGCAGTGCTTCCCCACCCACTTCCTATCCTGGCTTCCCTCCCAGGCTCGGGTGGCAAGTCTGTGGGTGTTTGTCAGGGAAGGTGCCAGGTGGCTTCCACTCTGGTGAGGAGGTCAGACCCCCAGGCTGCCTGTGGGGTTGCGGGAGGCTGGCTGGGCAGTCCTTCTGTGAGGCAGTTCTCCTGGGTGATTGATTGAAACTCACATTTTCTCCCAGTCCTGGCTGACTCCCTAGCCCTGTTGTAGGGGTTGAGGAGGGAGAAGTTGCTTTCTGGATGGGATACTCAGGTTTGGACCCAGACCCTGCCTTTTGCTGTTGATGTGGCTGTGGGCAGGGGTCTTAGCTTCTTCCTCTGCAGCACTGCCTACCAAGAAAGGGTTCATATGAGGGTTGTATATTATTTGAAAAATCCAGGCACAGTATCAGACATGTGGCCTCTTGGTTTCTGTGACAACATGCCTCCTCCTCACCTGACTCTTTACTTGTCCAGGTGGGCTTTAAAGGCCCTTGGTCTCAAGTTCACCGTGCTTGCTACTTCCCTGACCGCCCACCTTCTGGCACCTCTGCTGCTGGTGACCTTGCACATGCCTGGAGTGTTCAGAGCCTCCATGCTCACTGAGACCAGCAGTGTCCCCTTCTGATAGTGAGAACAGAATGAATAAATCCATCAGGTGCTTAAATCTTTACCTGGCAGATAAGTGCAAGTGCTTAGTTAGCACCAGTGAGCCACTGGCATTGGGTGGAGGGGTACAGGTGGCAGCTCATCTGACCCAAGGTCCTGTCACCTGTCAGCATTGGCTCTTCCTCCAAGCCAGTCTCGGCTGGCACTGGATTTACAAGAGGGGGTGTATGACACATGACCCCTCCTACAAGAGCCCCTCTGGGGGTGTACCGTCGCAGAGGGAGGAGGTTGTGAGAACAGGTCACCAAATGCTCTGTTCTCAGTGTGGTCTCCCAGGCCTCTAGAGTGCACTGTGAGCCCATGGCAGCAAGCATAGTTCCCCTTCCGGTTCACAGTCTTGTCTCCTGTGAGAAGGGGCCAGAGTGGACCTTCACAGACGAGTTAGTCCCTGAATGGGGGCCTTGCAGCTGTCAGCTCTGGACTATCACAGACGTGACTGTTTTGGCCAGGCCAGGGATCTGGCTTGGTTTTGTGGGGTGTGTCTGCAGGGTGGGTCCCAGGGAATTAGGTGGAAGGTGGATGAGGCCATAGGTGCCCTTCAGGCGCCTGCCTGCTTAGTTTGATGTCACATCTTGGCCCCCATATGCAGTGGCCACATAGTCTGGGGGGGACACATTGCCCCTGTCCTGATCTTCGGTTTCCCAGTTGCCCGTGGAATAAGAATGGTCCAGTTGGAAATCCCAGCAGAAGCAAGAGGAGGGAGCATCAGAGTCTCAGTAGATGTTGCCAAGAAGCCCTGGCCCATGTACTCCCACACATGCCAGCATGCCAGCCAACCCCTTTAATTTCATTGACGTCATATTCACAGACATTAACCCTAATTTTAAAAACTGAGATTTAAGGAGGTAGTATTTGATGGGCCTTTTTTCCTCCTGTAAGAGGTAAACCATCTTTGTTCTTTTAAAATTGGTTTCTTCAACTAAAGTGGTTTCAGTTACTAACAGTGATGCTTCAAGCAGAGGTGCCCACACCCTGCCCAGCCTTTGTAGATGAGCCCATCTTTGGGAGGGGAAGCTGGCTGGCCGGTCCCAGGTAAGTGGGTGGTGCCAGAGCTGAGGAGAGCCCTGTGGTGGATTGTGGGTGGTTGGGTGGTGGGTGGCTGTGCTGGCCATTTCTCACTCAGTAAGTGCATGTGTGTCCTGTTGACGTGCTGTCGGGGGGATGGGGTGAGGGAGGCGCCCACCAGCCTATTTTGCCTAACCATTTGCTAGTGATTGAGCCTGGTTTAATAAGGGCCCCATCCATCCCTAGTCGTGCTTGTCCCCTCTCTGCTGTGGTGGGGGAGAGTATCAGATGGACTTTAGTGATAGCAGGTGGTACCAGGAGTGGGTGACCCTCATGGGTGGGGGTGTGGGGGCTGGCAGGCAGGCCAGGGCCGGGGTCCTGGTAAGGAAGCAGGGAATGCGGTCTGGACGCCCTCCTGCCTTCTGTGCCGCCTTGGACCCAGTCTGCAGAGCTGCAGTGTGTCATACTTAAGTGCTTACTTAGTACCTGCTGCCTGGTGTCATCACTCTTTCCCGCCACCTCACTCCGGTCTGGGTTCCCTCCTGCTGTCCCTGCCCCTGTCCCACTGTCTGTAGCTGAGCCATGGCCTGGGGCCTCCGGCCTGGCCTGGCCAGCACCACTCCCCTCATCCCAGCCAACCATGCCTCTCCTGACTCCTGGGAGCCCCACCTGCGCTTCTGGGCCTGGCCACCTCTGAGCCTTCCTTGCTGCTCTAGACTTGCCCAAGCCCAGCACCCAGTGCCAGGCCCTCCCATCCTGCAGGCTCAGCCAGGGCAGGGCTGCTGGGGCAGCTGCTCCGTCCCCTTGCTGCCTCCCTCTTGTCATCTCCCAGAGGGTGGGGAACCGAGGCAGGCCCTGTAGCTCGGGACTTGTGGGAAGGGATCCTCAGGCACCGGGTTCCCGCCCAACTTCTGGGCTGTGAGCTGCCTTAGTTTCACAAAGGAGGGCAGTGAGGCTGCCCCGTAGGCAAGCTGCTCCAACTTCCTCCTACGCCAGCCCTGGGGACCCCACTGTGGTGTGTCTGGTGCAGCTGGGGCAGCTAGGCACAGAGAAGCTGAGTCACGCAGGGCTGTGTTCCAGGTGGCCTGTCCTCAAAGAGCAGGCACCTGCTGAGGAGGGAAGGTGCTCAGAGGCCTGTGTGCGAGGCCCAGCTTCCTCGGGGCAGGGTTCCTGATTCTGGAGAGAGCCCACAGGGTTTCCGTGAAGCAGACAGTTGGTGGCACCAACGGGCCTGACTTGGGGTGGAGGCTGGGGTCTGAGAGGTCCTGGTGGCCCTGAGGTGACCCTTCCCCCTAGGGGTCCGTCATCCTGGAGAGGCAGCTACAGGCATCTAAAGATGGTGGCCATGTAGCCCATGGTGGCTGCGCTAATGGGCAGCCCCCCTTTCCCACCTTTCAGGCGGGGGTCCTGAAGCCATCTGGAGCTCTTCTGTTAAGGACACAAGGCACCCTGTCGTCATGTTCCCTTGTGTGGGGCCTGGGGGGCAAGCAGCTGTGCACCTCACATCCTCAAGGTGTGACCTTGCACATGGGACTGGCTCATATGGCCAGGGCACAAGCAGGGCAGAGAGAGGCTTACCCTGCACCTGTGCTGTCCTGGGTGGGTCTTCATGCCCTGGCTCTGAGGGTGGCTGGCACCCTGCCTATTCCTCAGGAGCCTGTGGCCAAGGACAACCAGGACAGCTTCCCACGGTGCAGTCACCACAGCCATAGCGCCTGCAGTACGCAGGTGAGCGGGTGGTGGCCAAGGCTGCCCACAGCTGAACAGTCTTCTGGCAGGCCTTATGGGAAGCCCCCCGGGGGACCCTGTGGCCCCTCAGGCCCGCCTTTCCCTGGAGGGAGAAGGCAAAACAGTCTAGCTGTGTAAAAAGTGGACATGATTTTCCCTCCTCAGTTGGGGCAGCCACCCCACTTCCCTACATCTGTGCACGGGGAGCAGCTCTACCACAGCCAGTAGGGCAGGGACTTGATTGCCTGAGATTTTGAGGTGAGGGTGGCCAGAGGCAGCACTGGCTAGGACCTTGGGAAGTGGACAGAGAGGTGGGATGTGGGCTGGAGCGAGCATCCCGGTACAGGCAGCATCTGCTACCTTATTTGGGAGTTTTTTGCTTGGGGACTTGTCTCTTCCCCATTTATTTATTTATTTATTCATTCACCTTTCAATATATTTTTAGGAGCTGAGGGATGTTTGCCTTGTATTTTATATTTGGGTTACAATCCCATACTACTTCATTTTGTTGTTCAACTTGCCCCGACTTTGTCCCCTGGCAGCCCTTTCGTTTGGCTGGTGTGCCCCTTGACAGCATCCCTGTGATTATCCCCCTCCCTCCTCCTTCCTCTCTCGCCCTCCCTCCCTTCCTCCTTTATTTTCTCTCCAGTTCCCTCTCTCCTGCCTTGCCTCCCTACCTTTTTATTTCTCCCCCTACTCCCTCCCTCTTCGTTTCCCTCCTGTATTCCCTTTCCTGTTGCGCCCTTCCGTGCCCTCCAGGGTTATGACATGCTCCAGGCTCATCCTGCAGGTTCCCTGCCCTGGTCCTGGAATCAGCCCTGTTCCCCTGACTGGAGAACAGTGTTAGAAGTCAAGGTCTGGGCACCAGGTATGTGTTGCTGCCCAAGTCTCACTGCTTCTCAGAGCCAGAAGAGATGTCCCCCAGTCCATGGGCAGTCATCTACAACAAGAGTAGGTGTGCTGCCTGCCTGTACATGGAACGGAACGTGAGTTCGTGCCGGTGTCTCCTGCTCTGACCCGTCTGCTCAGTCCCTGCACTCGTGCACAGGTGTGTCAAAACCATCACTCTGCACTCCGCTGGAAATAGTTTGTCAACTAGAGCGTGGTGCTTATGTGCAGACCTTTGCCTGTGGTGTTAGGCACTCCCTTATC